TTGTTTTCAAGGTTGTGAAGCCTTTCTCAAAAGTTTAAACCTTACCAATGGAACTCAAAGCTTGCATGTTATTCCTTTTACAAAATCCTCAATTTTCATCAACCATCATGAGGAATTTGTATTGGAACTTTGGCTTGATCTATTTCCTTCAAGAGTTATGTTGATGATGTTTTCAGTAAGGTTTTCCACGTTAGAATTCTCTTCCGCATAAACTAAGTACAGAAAAACCAAACATTAAAAACCATTCAAATTATGAGAAGTTTACCAAAATAATTATGAAAAGAAATAAAACAATAGTACTACACCATTAGTGCATTGTGAGGTCCATAAGTTTGATGTCAAACAAATTCTACCTTCAACTGAGCCAAACAAATTATGAAGCCTTTGTTTTTCATTTTTGAAGATCCTCAACACATAGGCTTTAATTGTATTTCTACACGGTAATTTAATATTAGGAGATATATATGCAAACAAAGCCCTAATTCCCTCATATTCAGAAAAAACTAAAAGGAAGATTATGCTTGATAATGACCTCTACCAATAAGCCATAGAATACTATAGGATCAAAGTTTTGGGAACAGAATTCAAACACCGACAATAATCCACCAGTCGGTCTAGGGTATGTTTTCAAATGTCTATTCATATTACCCGTCCCATGATGACTATCATCTATTACCAGTTTCTTACAATATTTACATTGAGCACGACTTTTACCAAACAGGAGACCTGAGTGTTTGCGTACCTAATTTGATCACTCTAGCCTTTTTCTTTGCTGGACTTATATTTGTATCTTCTGTATTTTCACTTCCATGATTTGGTTGTATTCCCATTGTAACTTCCACTGACCCTCCATCACTAAGGTTCGTAAAATCTTGCTCTATAGCATCGATTGCTTCAAGAAAGAAAAACAAAACTGTATAATCTTGTTCATACCAATTTCATACCATATCCATTTCAATTTCAATTTCACATATCCATATCCATTCAAATTCACATATCCATTTCAATTTCAATTTCAATTTCACATATCCATTTCAATTTCACCTATCTATATCCATTTCAAATTCACATATCCAATTCAATTTCAAAATCCAATTCATATATCCACAAATCATAAATCATAAATCACAATCCAATTCAACTTTCAAATTCATATATCTACAAATCACAATTCAATTCAAATTTACTTTCGAATTCACAATTCAATTAAAAATACCTTGCACTTGCATGTTGCAGCCTTGCTTAATTGCTTTGCTTGTTCCAAATCTCCAAATATGGAAAACAAATATAGACCCCACTTATTAACTTCAAGTAAATAGACCCCAAATGAAACATAGATACAAATGAACTCGCGTTGTTCACAATAAAAAAAAAAAAAGGACCTGCCTGCCAATTGCCAGTACTTGGGACAAATAATTCCATTACATTGCATCTACTACAGCAAAACAAAAATAGATATGGCGTCACTACTCTGTTGTTGCCTGCCTCACATACCACCTGAATTCTAACCTCCCTAGTCCCCTAATAACATATCCCTAATATATGTAATATATAACCTCCCCGACCCCTGATAACATATCCCAATATATATATATATATATGACATTAAATAATGAATCTCACCTTACGGCTTACAATACAACTAAATGGCATGACATAATAAAGTTAATTTACATAACTGCATCTATACTCCCAAATTCCAATGCTTGATTCTATTTCTGCCTCGTCCTTTTGTGATTTTCAAGCTAGCAAAGTCAACGCAAAGCACACTTGCTCGATCGTTGGGTTTTTCGAATGTTTGCAAACATGCCCCAACCCAGAAAATCCCCAGCCATTAGTTTTAATTTTAACGAAAACGCCAAATCACTAGTTTTTTTTTTTTCAAAAACACAGAATACCCAAAAATACAAAATTCATACCTTTAACATGTGCTTGCCTATGTGTGGTTTTCTTGTGGCTGTCAGAGTCAAGTTGAAGGAAGTGAACGGAGGAGGACGTGAGAAAGATGCGGATTAAGGAGTCGGCGAGGGAGTAAGTTTGGATTGGAGAGATCAGAGTGAATGAGAGAGAAGAAAAGGATAGCCTCCAACCTAATGCACAATGGACGACTGATTAAATCTCAACCGATCCAATAGTCACCAATTTTTTAAATTTAATTTAATATATATATATAATTATTATAACTTTTAGGGGTATAAAATTGTTAAATTAATATATATATATATATAATTATTATAGTATTTTTTTAGGGTTATAAAATTATAAAATTAATATTTTGCTTATCATGTATCGTGTTACCCACGTGTATACCCAAACTAACCCGTTATCTTAATAGATGCTTATCGGATTACCTGATTTGTTATTGTGTCGACCCAAACACCTATCAATTTCATGTCATGTCGAGTCAGGTTATCGGGTCGTGTCAAGAATTGCTAGGCCTACCTAAGGCTATGGGACGAAACAAGGTCCACAAATTGAAGGAAAAGGGTAAGGCAAAGGATGATTACGCCTTTCAACAGGAAATGGCGTCCTCATTGTGATTAATGGCGGAGCAAAATGCCTTGGCCGCTGAAGAAAGGAACCATAGGCACGAAGAATGGGAAAAACAAATTCAAGAAGAGATGGATGATAGGAACATGCAAAGGAACACTTTGGATTACACTCCAATGAGTAAGGCCTATTTTGACAGGAAAAAAAGGGAAATTAGAGCGCAATGGGAGTTGTTTACATTCGACTATAATCCTACAATGGCGGATGATGATTATAGACTTTAAATTTAAGTTGTAGTTTTTAAATTTAAGTTGTAGTTTGTAAATTTGAGTTGTTGTAATCTTTAAATTTAAATAATAAATTATGTTTGGCCTTGGCCCTTTGGCCCTCTCGGTTGGAGATGGTTTTTTTCCATAGGGCTATGTTTGGCCTATGGCCCTTTGGCCCCTTGATTGTAGATGGTAAGAAATATGGCATGTCACTGTTCATTAAAAAATTAATTTCTTGAAGGACTATAGGGCTAAAAGGAGCCCTTTGGCCCTCCTTCGGTTGGAGATGGCCTTAGTTGTCTCGTTAAGGTTTTGATAATTGAGGTAAGTAGTTTATGTAATGTGTTTTAAAATATTTTTATTTTTTGATAAATGAAAACCATGAGATTATCTTGGGTTTTGAGTTATTTCCAAATATCTATCTATTTTAAGCCAAGCATGTTGGATTTTGTGTAAATATTTTATGATGTGATATATATTGTATGTGAAATTACTTGAGATGTTCATGGAACATGAGAACTTTGGTGTTGCATTAGTTCGAGGGATAAATGTAAACTGCATAAGGGGACATTAGGGTAGGAAGGCCATTAGGGGTCACATGGTGAGTTACAATTTATGAAGGATATAATGAACACGTAAAGGGATGATGTGATACGGAATTATGTGGCTAAGCTTTGATATTATTCTCATATTTTCTAGCGTGTGTAAAACAGCATCGCTTGACTGGCATATTACATATCTACTCATTAGGTGGCAGTGGTTGTTGCTCACCCCTCACCCTTATATTTTTCAGATGAGTTATTTGGTGAGCCAAGTACTAGACGAGCTGAGGTTGTGCTTGAGGGGACATTTCACGATTTTAGTTTATTTTGTATGCCTTGTAAAGATTTTTGGAGTTATTTTTATAAAGAGATGTTTATTTTTCGTTTTATTTTTATTCTTACTTGCGCTCGAGCATGGGGTTGAATTTTCCATCGATTCCGGATCCGTGGCGTGACATAATACCCAAGCATTCAACCTTAAAGTCATGCAAGAGATATTAACAACATAACTTTCTTATTCACAACTAACTTTTACAATCCAATACATTTCCAGCTATATAACTAAAATATCTCCTTAAAGTTGATGTCACTAATTAACAAACCAAATATCACAGCTAACAACTTGTTAATTAGTGGGTGACCACTAACAAAATGACACTTGTACAACCCAGTTTCCTAATAAGGTAACTCGGGACTGGCTACAAAGAGTTAAGCAAGGAGATTAATAAAAGGAAAAATTAGGATGATTAAGTTACAGGGTTAATTTCTATAATTGAGCAACCAGATCACCACTGCCAAGGTAAAATGCATTGTATTAGACATACAAGTCTGCTTATTATTATAGGAATTAATGAGTTGGGTAAATGACGTCAAGTTGCATTGCATCAAACATTGTTACCGATAATGATTTCATACTTGATTTTATGATGTCATGACACTTAATTTAGTATTGTCAATTTACCATGGTAAGGTTATGTCCCTAATAAGCTTTTGAAGCTCACCCCTTATTGGCTATGCATGTTTATGAATTAGACGATCAAGAGGATAAGTGGAATGAAATCGGATTAGATATGCGAGGCTAAAAGTGGTGTTTAATTATTTTAGCCTTATAAAAAATTCTTGATTATTTGTATAAAAGGAATTTATTTCTCACCTCGTTTTAGTTTCTATTCTTTTTGTTTATTTTAATTTTTAGTTTACCTTTCGGATTCGACTTTTTTTACCGACTCTGAGTTGGGCACACCACAAACATAGTCCCTTGCTTCCTTAATTGTAGCAAATAGTGAGTCATAGAATCTGCCACCTTGATATTCTGAAGATCTACTTTCATTTGGAAACTAGAAGTTCGACGTACAGTAGAGAGTTGACCACTAAAGAGTTGGCCACTAAAAAGCTAACCACTAGAGTTGACTACTAGAAAGTTGATCACTTGGAAGAGGTAGTCTGTCACGTACCAAAAGGTTTCGCATTCAACAGTGACCCAGTTACTAATCAACTAGTCTTCCATCTAATGGTGATCTAGTTCCCAATCAAAGAGTCGTCTCTCAAAATAATAATAGCGAGACTGGGTCGGACAAGGATCTGCGTTAACATAAACAAATTCTCACGAAATGGAGAAGCAGCTAAGCGATATTAGTACATCAAATATCAAGGAGTAGCTACCATATATAATATGTTTGTCACTTGAAACGCTTGAAAGTTGGAAAATTTTAGCATTATTCATCAATATGTAACTCGTTACAGTCCCCAATCAGGGCCTTTTTTTTCTTCCATCAATGTTATAGTAAACGCAGCCCTTGCAACAAAGTTTACCCATGGCGCCCATGCACTTTTCAAACTAAAAAAATATACGAAAACCAAAAACTGACCAGAAAAAAGTGGAAACAATACATATACGAACTAGAAGCAGATAAATAAATCGACATTGCTACTGGTGTCTTCAAGCAGCCACGCTGTGAAGCACGACGGTCTCCACCGTGAGGCCAGGCCCAAATCCGAACAGCACACCCCATTCTAGTCCTTCTCCAGTTGTCTTCAGTCCTTTCTCGGCTGACTTCCTCCTCACCTCGTCCAAAATAAACAAGACACACGCACTCGACATGTTGCCGTAATCTGACAGCACTTGCCTTGTCGCTTCTAGTTTCTCTGGCTTCAGTGCCAACTTGGCCTCTACTTGGTCCAGAATAGCAGGGCCACCTGGGTGTGCAATCCAGAAGAGCGAGTTCCAGTCTGAAATGCCTATAGGCTTGAAGGCCTCGTTAAGGCTCTTTTCGATGCTCTTTGAAATAAGACCGGGAACGTCCTTCAGAAGGTGAAATGTAAGCCCTACTTCACGGAGATGTCCGTCGATAGCCCCATCACTGTCGGGGAGAATGGTTTGTGCTGCCGAGACCAATTCAAACAAGGGCTTCTCGACTTCGGGCACTGGGTCAGCACCAATGATGACGGCTGCTGCACCGTCGCCAAACAAGGCTTGACCCACAAGACTGTCAAGGTGGGTGTCACTAGGCCCGCGGAAGGTGACCGCGGTGATCTCAGAGCACACAACAAGAACACGTGCACCCTTGTTGTTTTCGGCCAAGTCCTTGGCCAAACGGAGAACCGTGCCTCCAGCGAAACAGCCTTGTTGGTACATCATGAGGCGCTTGACAGAGGGGCGAAGGCCCAATAGCTTGGTGAGTTGGTAGTCAGCGCCGGGCATGTCGACACCACTGGTGGTGCAAAAGACCAAGTGGGTGATTTTGGACTTGGGTTGTCCCCATTCCTTGATGGCCTTGGTGGCAGCCTCTTTGCCAAGCCTTGGGACTTCAACAACCACCATGTCCTGCCGAGCATCAAGTGAGGGTGCCATGTACTCGCACACACTTGGATTCTCCTTTAGAATTTCCTCAGTCAAGTACATGTAACGCTTCTTGATCATAGATTTGTCACCTGAAAATTTAACACATTATTCAAGATTCACTGTTTGAAAAGAAAAAAGGGGTGTGATATCCATACACCCCATTTTACTTCTCACACACTTTTTTAATTTTCGACCGTCGGATCGGATAAATTGAAGAAGATCAACGGATAGAAATTATCAAGGGGTGTGTGGAAAGTAAAATGGGGTGTGTTGATAGCACACCCCCAGAAAAAAATAATCAAGATCCAATTTTCTGCACTTTTTAGTATATTTTTTGAATGCGTGGAAAATAAATAAAATTATTAGGTTTCCCGGTAAGTTCTTTTGTGTAGGGTTGCATTTTTGCTCACCACCATCGAGTGGTGATAAATAGGATGGTGAGCAAAAATATTTCTTTTTTGCATGACAACATGGAGTTTTGTCCCTTTTTAATTGGTGGTTTCCTTTTCGAGTTACTAGGTTCTTTGTGCTACTTCTAATTTCACCAGAAAATACTATTAATTTCATTAAAGAGACTTTAATGAACAACTAGCATATGGGTACACATGTGTGAGAAATTTTTTATTTTTGTTTTTGAAATAGAAGGAGAGAGAGAGAGAGAGAGAGAGAGAGAGAGAGAGAGAGGAAGAGAGTGATAGAGAATGTGGGAGTGGGAAGTTTTTTTTTTTTTTTTTTATTATTATTATTAGAGATATGTTTGGATTAGATGTAGGTGAGGCTTTGAAAAAAAAAATGCAAAATTTGGTTGTGTGAAATTACATGTCTGCCTCATATTTCTTATTCATGTTTTGTTTTAATTAGAGAGTTAAACTGGTAATTTCATAGGATTTTAGTTGACAATGAGTGTTTTATTAATTAGTGGAGATAATATAAGCATACCTTTTGAAAAATAAATAATTTAAGAGAGAACTACTAAAGAATACAATATCTAAATTACTTAATAATAAAATCTTCTTTGTTAATTAAAATAGGATGAAGAGACAATTTGGTCTTATATTACAAATAAAATCGTGGCCACTAATGTAAATTTGCCCAAACCAAATTTTGCTATTTTTTTTTCTTCATTCACCCACATGTCATTATAATATATTTTTAATTTTTAATTTAAAAAAATAAAAAATTTAAACATCTTCCTCGTTTTCTCCCACTCTCTCTTTCACATTTCTCTCAAACTTCTCTCTTTCATATATTGTTTATACTTTTTAAATTTTTTATATTTATACACACCTAGTGTGTGGTACTTCATCTAATAACAATTAAAATTTAAAATTTAAGCCAACTGCGATCACAAATATTAAGTTTTCTAAGGGAGAAAAAAAGCATTCGCTTTCAAAATATTGTAAAAAATTTCTGTTTAAGAAAATTCATGTATTGTGTTTTGTACTTTTTTTTTAATCAGAACAGTGTTTTGTGCTTATATTAACACAGTTGCCATGAGCATTAGTTTCAAATTTTTTTTCTGTGTGGCTATATTCGTAGTTCTTCATTATATACAAATACAATGATATCATGAATAAACGTTAAGCTATATCCTATGCAAGATAAAGAGAGAATGTTTATCAAACAAAGTACATAGCGAAAGCATATATAGCAAATATGAACAAATCAAATAATTATTCAAAGAGAAATAAGAACAAAAAAAATATGGTACATACACATGCGCTGGAATTTTTCTTTGAGCTCAGCCTTGTGCTCACTGTTGGTGATACGAAAGTAATAGTCGGGGTATGTAGCTTGGTCCACACAATTGGGAGGAGTTGCTGTCCCAATGGCGAATACCGTGGCCGGACCCTCAGCCCGTTGAGCCTTGCGAACTTCCTCGACGGTCACCATTTTTGTCGGGTTGTCAAGAAAGATCGAAGAGAGACTAAGGAGCTAGTTGTGGTGAGGAGTTACAGATGTTGCAAATTGCAATGGTAAGTAAGATAGCCGGGAAGGGTGTGACAAAATGTTAAGAGAAGTTGTTATATTTATATAACACGTAAAGGAGGAGAGGGTAGTTGAGGATCACGTGCCTGACCAATTCATTATTAGAAACCCTCAACCACATTAGAGGTAGGGGGCTTGCTGGCACGTGCATTTTGTGTGGTGTGCATTGCCTACAAACTTCTGCATGATTTGGAATGTGTCTGTTCTCTCGTCTTACCTACCAGACAAAGGGCAGGAAAAAATTCACTTCTTTCCTTTGAAATTTAATTTTTTGTACCTTCAACGGAGGGCGATGATAAATGGGTGGTGCATGTATGCTGGAAACTCAACACCAACGGATTGTATTTTTCTCTCGTGTTGTTTTTCTATAGGACGGATACAATTCGTTTTGAAAAAAGAGTGTCACCAATAATTTGGAAGTGGGAAATGTACGTAATAACAATTTTGGGGTGGTACCGTACGTGATGGGCACAGTGACACACAATAGTTAATTAGTTGGATGACTCAAATTAGAAGGATAAAAATATTTATGGTTACTCAAAATTAAATCCTGAAGATCACATTAAAACTCTATTCGTTAGCTATATTTAGTTGACATTTCTTAGTACTAGCAAATTACTCATCCAAACATAACTATACGTAGATGCGATGAGATTGAAAAAAATTACCTCGTACGTCCAAACTGGACCATCATCTAACCAAACTGGATGGATGAGTATATATAATTAGCTCGCCCTCGTTTGCCCGCTAGCTAAAAGCAAAATTTTACAAGATTATGATCATAATCCGAGTATGCATGGGTTGGAGGACATTTGCATATATAAATGATAAATCATGGACTATGTATATCGATCTCATTGAATTTGAGACCGGACAGGACATGCGCTAGCTACTTCATAAATTACTTATCATTTTTACCAACAACTCTATCTGGTAGCAAAAATTTGTCGTCATTAGTCTTGACAAATTTGTACTTACAAAACAATTAACACCTTTGATCAACGACCAAAGCCTCACACACCCACAATACGGAAGGGAGGGGGTGGCAGACTCATGAGAGCTGTTAATACGTGTAACTAAGGTGTGAGATTATAGAGTTGGAGATGACTTTGTTTGTAAGTTACCAAAAGGTGTGTGTACGATAAGGAATGTAGCTCAACAATCCTAATATAGATACTTTGGGATTGCATGATAAGGTTGAGTTCAATTAGGACTAATGTTATGGGAAGTCACCTAATTGACACACCATTGCATAAGGTATAAATATAGGGTCCTTGCAGTCTTAATTGGTACAGAATAAAAGCCTCACGCCCTAGAGTACCAAGACATTGCATTTTGAGATTGACGAATTGCAGAAGACACCTATATTGTGCTCTAGTCAACATGGTTTCTTCAGGTTAGTGGTTATCTGGGTTTAGTGAATCGGTTATGAATTAATCTAATATCACATTAGCATCGGAACTTTCACATACGATTTAACCCTATGACGAAACAATTTTCTTTGACTGAAGATTATGGATGATGACATTGACAAGTTATCTGGGAATTCATGCATCGAGCATATATCAACTTAAGCTGTTTGTGTTCATATGCATGTCTTCAAAAACTTGGCCATCGGTACTTGCGCTAAATTTTGGAATATAAATATTGATCATCTAAAGATTAGCCGTTGTTTATATCTTAAACTCTAGGTGGCACAATGCTTTGTTTAACCCCAGAATGTCCACCGTTGGGTTCCAAGTCACAAAGGCTTGCAGCCATGCTTCAAGATAGGTATATTCATGGAAAAAGCAATGACGTCGTGATAAAGAAAATGGTTCATAAATTTCAGCATTCAAAAATGTTGAAATTGTGATATATGGATATTGGACTAAAGTTTAATCTCTTTGCAAATTGTGGTTATGGATATCGGACTAAAGTTTAATCTCTTTGCAAATTGTGGTTTTTAAAGGTGTTAGTCCAAGCTCCATGAACCTCAATACCATTGAGCCACTTACTGGAATGAATTGTAAGAAGTGGAAGCAAGACCTTGAGATTTTGAGTATTTTGGAGGTCAAGATGGAATATTTTGAGGAAGATTACTTCTGAGGATTTGTAGGGGACATCTTCATCTTTCAAAAGAGACCTTTTGGGACCAAATTAGAGTTGATTTGATTGGTCAAAAGTGTGATTTTCTGAGAACTCCGAATTCTAGTTCAAATAGGAAACCTTTTATTTTCTGTTTTATCATTTAATTATGTTTCCTAGTTTTGTTCTAAGACCTTTCCAAGGTAGGGTTTTATTTTCTAGTAGTATAAATAAGACTTTTTAGCCATTAGAAAAAGAGGAGGGGGGGAATGTACGTGGAGAATTTAGCTTGGCTTTGACGCTTTGTATTTTGAAGGTGTTTTCTATCCTTTTTCTATTTCAATAAATTCCTTTTGTTTTATGGTTGCTAGTAGCTAATTTTCGTTTGCTAGGGCGATGCTTTGAGCCTTAGCATGAATATGTAGTTTTTATTTAATTGCTTATGATATTATGCATGCATGCATGCTTTGAATTATTAATCATTGTGCTTTAAACTATCTCTATATCTTAATGCTTAGCTAACATTATGATGTTTAGATAAGTAATCGGATGCAATTCGATCGGAATACCACCGGGGAATTGCGTATTGCTTCTTGTGATTGATAGTTGTAATTTCACCTAGGCGAATGCCACGTCTTAGGGGTTGCATGGTGATGCGAGATTTACTTGACACTCAAATTAAACCCTCGTTTGACAATTGTAGTAGAATGGATAAGTGAGGGATCGTTCTAAACCGGGGATTAGGAGGGCTTGTTAACCACTTGGATTTGACTTCAAAAACGTAAAAACAATATGAAACACTATACTAAACTCGAAGAATGCAAAACTAAAAGTAAGAAAGATTAAAACTAAAACTTAAACAAAATTAAGGGGGATTGGATTTGAACGAAAATTGAAATAAACAAAATGCAAAAATGGACAGATTGTAAACAAGTGTTGTGAAACAAGATGGTTGGTGAATTAGCTAGAGGTTCTTTCTCCACACATGATATTTATGCATATGAATCAATTTCCAGTTATTCTTTCATTGAATTATGAACGACAATGCCCCAAATTAACCGTGACATCACTAGTTAATCCTCAGATTTTCCTTATATTATTGGATTGGATGGCATCATTCGACAACCCAAAACATTCTCAAAAGTTCCCTACATGTCATCATAATAGAGATACAATCGAAGATCATTAAGAAAAATGAAAACCATAAGCATTGACAAAGCATTTGCAACTATGACATCATGTTACTCATGCTAAGAATTAAACTTAACGCGATCGTGACAAGCGACCTTCACTACTTTCAAGTATAAGTTAGTAACGATTATGTGAAACCTTCTTAAACTTTAGCCACATATTCATGCATGCTAATTAAGTGTCGACCCTCAATCAACAAACACAAATAAGTTAATCATCAAATAGTTAAGCCAATTGCATTCACGAATCAAGAGTTCATAACCGGAATTCATCAATTCATATTACATAAATAATCATGGTATTGAAATCACCCCTAGCCAAAAAGGGTTTAGTTCCTCATAACTTTGAAATCAAAGAAACACCTAAACATTCCAACAACTCAATCTTGAATTGTATGAACGTTTAGGCACTCTTCTCTTCCATTCCTCATATTACAAAACAAAGAGAATTGAATTTAAACATTGAAATCAAAGAAACGCGTAAACATTCCAACAACTCAAACGTGAATTGTATGAACGTTTAGGCCCTCTTATCTTCCTCTTTATTGTGGCACAAGGACTAAGGGATGTTGTTGGTGTGTTGAATGGATTGGGGGATTATGGAAATGGATGAGGAGTGGTGGAGAAAATGGTGCAGAAAATGGAGAGACACTCATGGCTAAGGAAGAAAATGGAAGTGTTTGTGGTGTGTTGTGTTGTGAATGAGATGAGATGGTCCATGAATGAATGAATGCAAGGGTATTTATAGGAGTAGTGGAGGGAACATGACAGCTAGGAGGTGGGTGGAAATGTGGCTGCAAGGTGAGTGAATGATTATGAGTGAATGCATGTGATAGTGGCTGATTTGGAAAGCTGAAATTGTGATGGGAAAGCCACGGCAAAGGGAGGAATTTCTATGGCTGCATGTTTGGGTTTGTTTAAAGGGTGCATGTGGGTGAATATTAAGTTGGAAATGCATGTGCAATTGCATGTGTGTGTGCTGGAAATGGGATGGTAGCCACGGCAAAGGGTTAATGGTGCTGCAAATGCATGTGAATGCAGCTAGAATTGCATGTGAAAGGCACGGCATAGGGATGAAATGAATGATTAAATGTGCATGGCTGGAATGATGAAGAATAAAGGGTGCATGTGGGTTGAAAATGGCTGGAACAAAGGGAGAATAATGATGAAGAAAAGCTGGAAATGTTTAGGGAATGTGCACGGCACAAGGTGAATGAGTGATGGGTTGAATGTGTTGGCAAGGCTTGTGGAATTGTGTGAAGTGTGTGTGAATTAAAGAATGAATGGTGGTGTAATGATGAAGAATAAAGGGTGCATGTGGGGTGGAATTGAATGAATGCAAAGTGAATGAATAATGAAATGGGAAAGCATGACCAAGGTGGAAATGCATGTGAAATGTTGGAAAGGAATTGGGAATATGAGTAGGCCACGGCATGGAGTGTTTGTTTGATGATGATGCATGTGATGGATGGAAACAAAGGGGGAAACATGGCACAAGGGTGCTTGAGTGAATGATTGAATGTGCATGTGGATTTAAAGAATGAGTGGTGGTGTAATGTTGAAGTGAATGCATGTGGAATTGCAAGGAGTGCACGGCATGGATGGTGTTTTGTGCATGTGGTTGAATTGGTGGTGAATGTGCATGATAAAGAATGGATTGGGTTGCAATGGTGTGTAATTGGGCTAGGGTTTAAGTGCATGAAATGGACCCAAATTGCTCCCCCTTGCATGGCAAGGAATGGTGTTTGTGTTA